GATTGTTGTGTAAACAGTTGTATGTTGTACTATAAGTCTGAAATAAATGACAAGCACTGTAAGTTTTGTGGTGAGCCAAGATTTAAACCACGCCCACCTAGATGTACTCGTACAAAAGAGGTGCCACGCAAAAGAATGCATTACCTTCCTCTCATCCCTAGATTGCAACGATTGTATGCATCACATAGCTCTGCTTCACACATGCGGTGGCATTATGAAAATCGCCGCGAACCTGGTATTATGTGTCATCCTTCAGATGGTGAAGCATGGAAGCACTTTGATAGAAGGTTTCCTGATTTCGCAGCAGATCCTAGAAACGTGAGATTGGGCTTATGTTCTGATGGATTTTCTCCTTTTGGTTTCAATGCGAAGCCATACTCTTGTTGGCCTGTTATGGTTGTTCCGTATAATCTCCCTCCTTCAATGTGTATGACTACACCATACACATTCTTAACATGTATTATTCCTGGAGAAAAGAACCCAAAAACCAATATTGATGTCTATTTGCAGCCTTTAATTGATGAACTTCAGTTGTTATGGGAAACAGGTGTCTTAACTTATGATTCATCACTGAAACAAAATTTTATGATGCGAGCTGCGTTAATGTGGACCATCAATGACTTTCCTGCGTACGGTATGTTATCTGGATGGCAGACAGCCGGGAAACTAGCATGTCCTTATTGTCTTCAGTATTCTAAATCATTTTACTTGAAGAATGGTCATAAAACATGTTGGTTTGATTGTCACCGTCAATTCCTTCCAATGAATCACTCTTGGAGGAAGAATCGAGATGCCTTCGTCAAACGACGGGTAGAGAAATCAATACCTCCACCAATTATGACAGGGGATGAATTGTTTCATTGTTTGGAAAATATCCCAAGGATTATTGATGGTCCAATTGATCGCATTGATGGGTTTGGACAGTCACACAATTGGAAAAAAAGGAGCATATTTTGGGATTTACCTTATTGGAAGGATAACTTGCTACGTCATAACCTTGATGTGATGCATATAGAGAAAAATGTGTTTGACAACATCTTTCACACAGTTATGGATGTCAAAGGCACAGCAAAAAATAAAGACACACCTAGTGCACGTCTTGATATGAAGGATGTATGTAATAGGCCACAACTTGAGTTGGTGGAAAATAATGGACGTTTTCTTATGCCCAAGGCGAGCTACAGTTTGCACCGTACTAATCAATTGGCTGTTTATGAGTGGTTAAAGACTTTGAAGTTACCAGATGGGTTTTCTTCTAATTTGGCTACATGTGTTGATTCTACATCTTCTAAATTAATTGGGATGAAAAGTCACGACTGCCATATTTTTATGCAGTTTCTTTTACCTGTAGCCTTCATGTTTTTACCAAGTTGTTGCTGGAAGCCTTTAACTGAGTTAAGTGCATTTTTTCGAAATCTTTGCTCTACATCCCTACGTGTAGACAAAATATGTGAAATGGAAAAATCGATTGTTTTAACGTTGTGTCAGTTAGAACGATTTTTCCCCCCAGCACTATTTGATTGCATGGAACACTTGCCTGCCCATCTTCCTTATGAAGCACGTTTAGGTGGCCCAGTACAATATCGTTGGATGTATCCATTTGAAAGATTTCTCAACCACTTGAAGTCCAAAATGAAAAATAAGAGATATGTTGAAGGTTCAATTGCTGATGCTTATATGCTTGAAGAGGCAACACACTTTGCATCACTTTATTTTGACGATGATGTGCAAAGTAGAAGAACAAGAATAGGTCGTAACCTAAATGATGGCGGCATTGATCCTAACTTGCCAGTTACTTTGTCAATATTTAATCGACCAGGTCGGTCGATGGGCAAGAGAGAAATAAGATTTTTGAGTGCAGAAGAACAGTTCGCCGCTCATCAATATGTGTTACTGAATTGTGAGAAGGTTCAACCTATTTTAAGGTATGCGTGCTCTATTTTTGGTTTAATGTTGGTTTCAAATGTATATATCTAATTTCACTATTGTAGGATGTATGAAAATGGTTTACGACGCCTCAATCCTGGTTGTACTGATCAAGATGTAGACGATGAAATTGAAAGGAATTTTGCACATTGGTTTAAAGAATACGTAAGATGTTAATGTGCTTTGTCATTCTTGATTTATTATTTGTTGTTATTGTTAACTATATTTGTTGTTTTATGACATTTTCTTGATATTCATTTTTAGGTATGTAACCCAATGAACAATGTGGGTAACCAATCACTCATTGCTTTGGCACTTGGACCGATAATGGAGGTTTGCACATATAGTGGATATGTTGTTAATGGGTTCAAGTTTCAGACTGAACCATATTGTCGTAGAAAGTCGACTTCTAACTATGGAGTGTCTATTAAGGGCACTGGTTTAGCACAATTTGAATCAAATTTTTTTGGCACGTTGCAAGAGGTTGTTGAGGTTGAGTATCCAAATGTTCCAATTAAAAAGGTTGTTCTCTTTAAGTGTGAGTGGTTTGACCCAACACCGAATATTGGGTCACGATTCAATTCTGAATATGGTATTGCTGAGGTGCACTACAATAAGCGATATAGGAAGTATGATCCTTTTATCATTGCACAAAGCGCATGTCAAGTGTGTTATATTCCATACCCACGAGGTATAAGGGAGAAAGTGAATTGGTGGGTAGTGTTGAATGTACGCCCTAGAGGAGCTATTGACAGTGCGTACACATATCAACAGGATAACACACCGTTGCCTACATATGGATATGGTCAAAGTATTCAAGATGACGTGCAAGAGTTAGTGCACGAATCATTACAAATGAATGAAGTGGAATTACCTCAAAGTGAAAATCATTGGTCCGACCAAGATGTCCAAAATTCAGAAGAAGAGGATAATGAAGAAATTGAAGAAGATGACAGTGATGATTCTGTAGAAGATGATAGTGGAGATTTTGATGATGAAGCTGATAATGACGAATTCGACAATGACGAGGGTGATTTTTAATTTCAATGTCTAATTTAATTAGTGTTTGATATGTGTTTTTATTTGCTTAACAACTTTTACTTTGATATAATTAATTTTGTCTGGTTTATGATTATCTTTTATGTTAATATATATATTATTTATACATAAAATATATCATATATCATATCATATATAATCTATAATCTATTATAATAATAATAATAATAATAATAATAATAATAATAATAATAATAATAATAATATAACATATATATATATATATATATATATATAATAATATAATATAATAATAATAATTTCGCAGCCTCTTCTCTCTTCCCTCACTTAACAAGCGCCATTCTGAAATTTTCACCCAAAAAAGTGGCGCGACCGTGTATATACCTCCCTCCTCCCTCAAATTTCACTCAGTTGACTCCTCCCTTCTCCCACACTCACTGCCATTCTCCCTCTTCCCTCCTCCCTCCTCCCTCACAAATTTCACTCTGCCCCACTCGACGACGCATCGGCGCTGCTCATTCGGCCCTCACCCTATGACTAAGTGAAGTAAGTTATTCATGCTCTTTTTTCCCTAATTTTTATGTGCTTCTAGAGTTAGGGTTTTACTATGATAGTCTAATGATTGGTTTATGAGTGTCTAATTTTTATGTGCTTCGACAGTTAGGGTTTCTAGAGTTAGGGTTTTACCATATTTTTACACATCTGAACATCCATTTCGGTTTGTTGCTCTGTTACTGTTTTTTTTTTTTTTTTAATAACAAATGATGATAATTGTTTACAAAAGTGTGATGCAAGAATTAAATTACAGAGTTGTGTTTGTTATGCATTTCTGCTGGCTGTATTAGTTATATATGCCCTTGTTCTCTTTTGGGGTTTACCATAGATGTTATGATGTTGAGAAGGACACTTTAGAATTCTCAAAAGTTGATTCTTTCCTTCCTGACAAAGTTTATTACCATGGATGCCTGAAAACATTCTTGCAAATCACAAATTTGTCTTCTAACATTATTTTCTGCAGTCTGCAATATATATGTATGTTGTAACTTGTAATGTACAGACTGCCTTTTATTTATTTACCTTGTTGGTGGTCCCTCCCTAGCTTCTTCCCCAACATCACATAAATTTTTCACAACTTTTATCTTTCCACATTTTTTATTTTATCTTACTGTTTAATTTGCAGCCTAGTAATTCTTTAATTTGTTGCTGACATACAGACATATATACAGTAGTATAATTTTGAAGTAATAAAGTAGTATTGGGTTTATATTGAGTCTAGATTATGATACAATTTCAGACAGGTTAAATTTACTATAGTGCTCGTATATAGGAGACTTTATAAAAATATTGCTAGCTATCTACAAGTTTATTATAAGATATCTACATAGGATATCTTGAATTCCTAAACTCTAAAAATCTATATCCATGGACATCAACCAACATTATCTTAAGTTCATAAGTGATAATTCCAGTTGGGGAGGAGAGCCTAGCAGCATACCCATGGAACCTGATCATCATCATCACCTTAAGTACATAAATCTTTTATTTTTGTCTATGTTTTGTGTGCCAGAGGTATTTTCTGTGTTATGCATTACTCTGTACACCTTTATAGGATTTGATTATCTGAGCACTATGTCTTTGTCAAAAAAGCTGTAGATTTCTTGAACTTAAAGGTCTTCTCATCTTTAAGCAGTTCATCATTCAATTCTTCAATATATGATGTTCAAATTGCCTTTAACAGTGCATTATGAACCAATCTCCCATTGAATACAACCTGCCTTTATCAAATTACAAGTCTCAAGGCTACTAACCTTTACATAGCCTTTGATTTTCTTTGGTGTTTATTTATTTATTTATTTACATTGAAGCATGGGATTGTATTTATACTCCACATACATTTTTTGACATTGCTTTCTTTACATATTTTAGGATTGATTTACATATTGGTCTTATATATCTTGCATTTAGTTAATATTTTCCCTTCTCCCAATCTTATCTTATCTCATTGCATTTTGCTAAACAATAAATTGGCCTCTTCTTGTTCATTGCATTATCTGAAGCCTAAGTTATGTCACAACGTAACTCAAAGCAAATGAGGCAAAGCTTGATGTCCCAACCTTCGACACAACCCCGACAGGTGCATGAAAGTGATTCTGAGCATACTATGTCGGCATTGCCTACTTCAAACTCAACTGATTTGGAAGGAGGATCACCTACCCCAAATATGACAACAACACCTCCAACGCACAATCTAGATCCAACCGACAAAAGGATCTTCATTCGTCCTATTGGCATGGAAGCGTAAGTCTTAAATAAATTTTTTGTGTGCATATAGTTTAGGTATCAAGTAAAATATGTTTTTTACTATGATTTACAACAATGAAAAATGAAATATTTTGAGTTTTCCATTCTTGTTTTAGGTTGGAACCTTACGATGGGCATAGAAAAATCATAGAAAGCATTACTCGGTACTTCCCGGAGGCTTACAAGACGTTCAGAAGTGCACCTCAAAGTGTAAAGGATATTTGGTTTAATGAATACAAGGTAAATTACATTATAACTACAATTGGGACAAGAGTTCTTACTTATGTTTACTAATTTTAATTTGTTTATTTTTTTTTATCAAAGAAATTCTGTAAATGGAATCCAGAAGATGAAGCAGTTATCAGGAAAATATATGACAGAAATGCTCCCAAAAGACTTAGCGACACGTTGGGACAAGTGCGCTTAAAATTGAAAGAAGGTAAATCATCATCGAAGCAGTTTGCTGGAGTTTATTGGAATTAATTCCAATAAACTAACCAACTGGAATCCAGTAAACTAACAATTTATTCCAGTTTAGTTGAATTTCCAATTTAAGTAAAACTGGAATTTTTAATTAATTTCAGTTTGTATGGGAATTAATTTTAGTAATTTAGCAAAGTTTATATTGGAATTGAAGTTTTTAATTAAGTGTGCATCAACTTGAAAAAAGGTAAATCACCACCGCAATGGATTAATCCTGCGATTCTGGCTCAATATCAAAGACTTTGGGAGACGGACGAATTCAAAGCGCTATCCGAGAAGAACAAGAAAAATAGAAATTCAGATTGCGGTGGAATGGGACCCTCGTTGCATACTGGAGGTTCAATCCCAATGACCGAGCACAGACGAAGATTAGTAAGTCATTTAATAATTAATATCTAAATACAATTTAAAGTTTAACAACAACATTAATGTTTTGTTTATTGATGTTGGATAGAAAGAAAAGCTTGGAGAGGAGCCATCCCATGCAATCCTGTTCAAAGCTACACACAAACGAAAAAACACCGATGAGTTTGTGTGCAAAAAAGCCCAACAAGTCGTGGTGAGCATCTCAATTCCTATAATCTAACTTTGATTACCATTGACCATTATAAGCTACTAGTTAAGTATTGAAGTGTGGTTCACTGTTAGGTTTTAATCTTTGCACAATAAGTATTGAGTAACCTTAGCTTATTATGAGTATTGTATATTAAGGTTGATAACTTGTATGTTGTCCTCTATATAACGAGAAAATGATTTGATTCTATTGTTTGGCTATCTTGAATTTTTGCTTCTATTTATGATTGATCGAAATGTTGAATATAGAGGAAATTAGTTCCCACCAGTAGAGGAAATGTTGAATGTGAGAATCAGTTTACTGAAAGCTGAAACTAGAATTAATTCCAGTAAACTAAACTTAAATTAATTCCTTCCAGTTCTAGTGGAATTAATTCCAGTAAACTGAAAGGAATTAATTCCAGTAAGAAAACTGGAATTAATTACTTCCAGTTCACTGGAATTAATTCCATTAGAACTGGAAGTAATTAATTCCAGTTTCCTTACTGGAATTAATTCCTTTCAGTTTAGTGGAATTAATTGCATTTACTGAAATTTTTCAATAAAATTTAAATTTGTGCTTAATTGCATTTCTGATTTTAATTGTTTATTAATATAGGAGATTGTAAATGAAAAACAACAAAGTCAACCAGAACTTGAACCAGCAACTATTTGGTATGAGGCAACAGGTGGCTTGAAGAAGGGAGGTTCTGTTTTTGGGTTTGGATCAAGTACCCAACATTACTTCCCCGAGGTGGCAAGGCGAAAAAAATCTACATATGGAGAACCATCCTCACATTCAGCTTGTGAGGAGAGAATTAAACAATTGGAGCAAAGCAACAAGGAGATTTTGGAGCAAAACAAGAAGATTATGGAGTTGTTATGTGGTGCACATCCGGAATTGTTACAATCTGTTGTTCCTACAGCTCATGACACTCAAAGTGATGGTATTGGTTTAGATAATATCAATGTCAATGGTGATACCCAATCTCCAGTGTAATCTTTTGACTAAGTACTTGTGATGTAAATGGTGAAAATATTTAGGATTGTAAAGTAGCTACTACTTTTTGAAATGTGAAGTAGCTACTTTTTTTGAAATGTAAATGGTGAAAATATTTAGGATTGTAAAGTAGCTACTACTTTTTGAAATGTGAAGTAGCTACTTTTTTTGAAATGTGAAGTTGCATTATTATAAAATTGCTAGTTTTTGGTGATGTTACATTGTTATAAAAGTATTTTTATTTTTAAAAAAATTATTATTGCAGGGTAAATTAAAAACAGTGAAATTCTTTTTATAAATAATTTTTGACATTTGGGTTCCGACCACTGGTGGTCGGAAATCACAACCCATAAATGTAAGGGATAGATATTTCCGACCAAATAGTGGTCGGAAAATTGCAATTCCTTATAGTCAACGGATTGTGATTTCCAACCATTTGGTGGTTGGTCGGAAATTTCCGACCGTAATATGGTCGGAAATACATGGTCAGCCCCCTTTTGCATGTGACCAAAAATGTTCGACGACCTATTATTGTGGTCGGAACTTCCGTCCAATTGATAGAATGGTCAGAATTTCCGACAAGCGATTTTCCGGATCCCCAAAGTGGTCGGAAAATTGGTCGGAACAGTGCTTTCCGTCGTGATTATAGTGATTTCCGACCACTTTCTGGTGGTCGGAAAATCGCTGTTTTCCAGCAGTGACGTGTGGCAAGTAATGGTAAATTCATACCAATTAACACATGCACCCAACTATCAAAATAGGACAAACCCCATCAAGTGTACGTACAGCCAATAATAATGTGGTAAATTCGCACCATCACACTCGACTGTCAAAATAGAACAAACCTCATCAAGTGGAGATCAGAGCCAAGAATAAGCAAATGAAAAGTGTGGTTTTTAATGTGTTGTGAGATAAAAGTTTAGGAGGTTTGCATTAAAAAACACACTTTTCATTTGCTTATTTAGGCCCTGTTTAGTAAATGGTTCTTAGCTGTTAGGTGATTGTGCTAGTTAGACGGTATAATTAGTTGATAACATTAGTTGTTGTAGAAAAATGTTTGGTAAATTAGCTATTAGCTGGTAGTTATTTGATATAATTTCTTTTGTGAAAAAAGCTAATTGAAAAAGTTGCTTGGAGTAGCTTTTTTAATTTTAGCATTTTGAAGTTGCAAAAAACTAATTAACTAAACACTTATATTGATATTTAACTAAATTAAACAATCAATAGTGGTCAAATAAGCCAAAATTGACTTATAGGCCAATTTTTTACCAAACAGGCCTTAATATTTTAATTAGAATAAAATTTTGGGATGCCACAAGTGGCAAAAAAAAAAAAAAAAAAAAACTATTTGAACCTATTTGTTTGATGCTAAGAAATTTATTAATAAAAAAATAATGGTGGTCGAGTAAATGAAGTACAATTCTTATACTAGAAAATTATAAATTACAAGATCTTTCTAGTGTCATGAGATATGTAAAGTACATTAAAAAAAGTATTGTGTTGAAGAATTAAAGAAAAATATTACAATATTTTTAAAAATATAAAAATATTGAAGTAAACATAATCTTAGTTTTTCCGAATATTGTGCTAATGCAAAGGCCTAATGTTGCAGTATCCACTATCCACTCGTGCTAGTTGTCCGAATAAGAGTTCTTATTTTGTGGATCTAAACACATGCGTGTGGACTACAAATAAAAGATACATTATTGGTGCATATAAAGTATATTATTTGAACCTTTCAAAAGAATACATTATATTTTGTATACTATTAAATAATGTACATTCAATACGTACACAATAATATAATATACTTTTTAATATATTAAAAATGTATCTTATATTAATATATAGTACATTCAGTGCACAAATAATATATTTTTAATATATAAAAATATATTTTTTTATGATCTACACAATATGGTGTGGACTATGGTCCATATAAAAAATTTGCCTCCAGATAAGCCGTGTTGGGCTTTTCTGTGGATATATATATTTTTTAATGAATATAATATAAAAGAGTAAATTACACTTTTGGTCCTAAGACTATTGTGGTCTTGTTAATTTCAATCCACGACTTTCAAAACTAACAATTGAGTACCCTAACTATTCAATTTTTCTCAATTTCAGTCCTTCCGGTCAAATTACCGGGTGAAAAATAGCCGGAAATTTTTTAAGGCTAAACTGATGAGGGCAAATTTGTCTTTTTACATCTATTTATCTTTTCCTTCCCTTTCACCTTCCGTGACCTCTTGCCGGTGCTTTCTCCTCCATTACCGCCAAGCTACCAGTTTCTCCTCCATGGGAATCATGCTTCAAGAACACCAACTTCTTATCCATGGCAATCCTACAACTCTCATTAAATATGTGCAAATATGGGCATTCTCCCACAGACTAAATTGCACGAAATTTGATTCTTGAGCATACACTTGACCAATGCAAAAGCAGGGGCAGCAGTGTTGGCATTCTTCATTGAATCCAACAAAATTTCAATAGTTTCAGGGAAGAGAAATTCTGAGTTCTTCTCAATCAAGATGGAATTTTTGGGTGGCGTCGTTGGGGTTTGGGGCGGCGGCGGACGGTGGGTCTACCCTAGCTAGGCTACGAATTAAAGTAGAATTATATTAACGTTCGTTTCCACATTTCACTAGTTCTGTCAAAAGTGGCACTGACTTTGGACGTCTAATGACCCATTCCACTGTACTCTCAATAATATTATGGGATGGGATTATTAGAATTGCATAGCATAGCATTCATATTTCAAACCAATCAATTGATGCGATACAAGAAAACATGTGGATTATTGGAGGATGTTGGACATGAGATTTAACAGTGACCAACTACTGTGAAATTAAATACAATGAATCTCCATCTCTATCCCATTATTGTCTTTTTTGTCTTAGTTAATTTGTCGTCGGCAATTCTAAGAGAGAAGATCGAAATGGGCTCCTCGACGGCGGTGGACAGTGGGTCGGATGTTTGATTTTCTTACCTTTACCGTGCGATTTCTTCTAGTTTGAAAAGGCTTAGCTCCTCGATCCCATGGAAAAGGCTCCTGGACGGTGGTCGGTCGTTGGGTTTTGGGGCGGCGGCAGACGGCTGATGGTGCCAACGTAACATACCCATTGTTGTGTCGGAGAAGGAAGATAGGAATATATGTAAAAAGACAATTTTACCCTCATTAGTTTAGCTTTTAAAAATTTCCGGCTACTTTTCACCGATAATTTGACCGGAAGGACTGAAATTGAGAAAAATTGAATAGTCAGGGTACTCAATTGTTAGTTTTGAAAGTCGTGGATTGAAATTAACAAGACACCAATAGTCTTAGAACCAAAAGTGTAATTTACTCTAATATAAAACTAGTCGTGAGTTTTTAGAACAATTTTCCATGAAAAATCTCTCATTCATAAATTTCATTTATATGATTTAATAATTATATGAACAAAAAATG